AGCAGGAGGTTGATCCTTCTCTGCGTTTCTTCATGTATCTCCATAATTGATTTCACTCCAGAACATTGTAGCTGCCATAAAACACCTTTGGAGCTGTTAGCTGTGATCAGATAGCTGCAGTGAGGTGCTGTATTCATGGGATAGAAAGAAGGACAGTGCTTTTCACTTGGGAAAAGCAAGCAGAGGAGGGAAAATGAAGCAACTCCTGGGTTTACATTTCAAACTGTCAAGTGAAGAGATATCAGATTGCAGATAAAAACACTCCATCCTCCTCCCAGCCCAGAGAGTGCACCCAAACTCATCCAGATATCCAGACACATCATAGAGCCTCTGCAGCAAACTCCTGCTGGTGACATCACTCCTGCAGGTGATAATTCAAGGAGGATGACAGCAAGAGATTAGAGGAGGAGAATTCATTTCACAGACCTTCTTAGCCACTAGTTTTTCCCATTTATTGCAAGGCCCCCAAGCATGACCTTGTGGAGACTCTTCTGCAGTGAACTAGTCAGCAAGTCAACTCATGAGTAAGAAGTCTAAGAGGATTGCTCAGTGCTGCTTTGCTCTCAGTGCCCTGCACCTCCTCCAAGTACAGATGTTCTCCAGCACAAAACACCCTCAAGGACAGGTGATTTCTTTAACCAGAGTCTCATTTCCTTGCCCAGAAGCAGCTGTACTTGCCCATGAAATCCTGAGGGTCACGTAAGTGCCAGGGTCACATGAACATGAGGTCCATCAGTGGTGTATCTCCTCTGCCTTGTTCTCTGACAGCACAGACAGTGACTTCCAGTCAGCCACTTCTCTTTGCAAACACATATCACTTTCCTCTTCCGACCACTCATAGGGAGTTTGGCTAATTCACTGTGATTCCAGGTGTTTAGGAACTCCCAAGTCTTAAAGCTTTTTTCTACACAAGCAAGAAAATCACTTACTTTTGCCTGGGGAGGGCAAATGCTTTTCCCACTGACAGATTGAGTCTCCAATCTATTCTCACTCCACAACCACAAACTAGAGCTAACAGGAGGAGCTCATTAGCATCGCATGAAGCTAAGCCTGCATCAAACTCCCTGGTTATAAAACCTTGTAAGAGGGAAAGAACTAATGAAAACATGCTCTAAATAACATGTTTTTAGATTGCACTAAATGGATACATTCCCCTTTGAAACAGACTCACCTTGGTCATTCTCTGAAGACAAATAAAATTAAGGAATGCATTAAAAGCTGTGGACGAAAGTAGGATTGAAATGCCATGACATCAGGACAGCGAAATAAAGCTTGTTATCTACTTTGGTGGTGACATCTTGTAAGGGGATGTAGAATAACAGAATGGGTTGGTTTGGAAGGAGTGTAAAGATCATCTCATTCCACCCCCTGCCATGGGCAGGGACACTTTCCACTAGGCCCAGGTTGCTCCAAGCCTCATCCAGCATGGCCAAAGTCGCAGGAAATCTGAGTTTACATGGATGGCTGTCCTGGCTGAATGCAAAATTATGTCTTGAAACATCCAGTTAATAACTCAACCAGAAGTCACTGAGGTCACACAACAGAGTACAGAAGGAAGAGATGTAAACCAGCACCAACTACAAATACAAAGCACAACAGAGTACTGCACTTATGACTAAGATGCCATAGCATTAGGAAGTCAACCTGCTGTCCAACTTGCCTGCTCAAACTCCTCCATGTCCACCTCACCATCACCGTTCAGGTCAAACATCTTGAAGGCGATTTCGAAGTTTCTCTGAGGAGCTACAGAAAAAAACAACAGAGAACAGTTAACAGAGACACAAAAGCTCAGTTAAAAAGGCACAAATTCAAATTACTTTATCCAGAAGCAATTTTCCCTAATTCTTGCAATCTAATAGGAAAATGCAGCTCTTGAAGACCTTTAGCTATGAGCTTCATGGTGCTCCTTTGACCAAAGGTCTTGACAAGGAGTTGGGAGGAGATATTGCTTGAACAATGTTTATTCCATCTACAGGTGAAGAAAGCTCAAAAGCAAGACACGTTCTGATATTTCTAATGACAATTTACAGAATAAGACATTGTAGCAAGAGTTCCATCCTGCTCCATACAGGAGAACACCAGCTTGGCCAGAGGACACTCCTGAGGCACTGCAGAGCACTCTCTGTGCCTTATGGAGCAGTCAGAGGGCGAGGAGCAGACCTGGAATTCTCCTCCAGACTCAGCTCCTGTCTCACTGTACCAATTTAAACAAATCCTCAGCACCCTGTGTCAGCTGTGGCCCTGGGATGAGGTGTGAGCTGGAGCTCAGCAGCTGAGCCACCCCCAGACGCTGCTGTGCCTTACTTTGCACTGCTTTTAGTCTCTGCTGCCATGGTTTATGTAATCAGAACTCTTCAGAAACACCACTTCACAGCAAACCAACCTCTTTGTCCTGCATCCTACCACAGCTCTTCAGTTTGTTTCCATTCTGGGCTCTGTATCTCATCACCATTTGAAGCTACAACACAGTGCTACAATTTTCTTCCAAATTAAGCTAATAGATGAGGATTTCTCTTGCTCTACCACTCTCCGACAAACACCACCTACAGGGATTTTGCTGTTTGGGATTTCTAGGGAATCCTCGAGGCTATAACTAGTGCTCAGGTTGTCATCTGAAATGATCAATTAAACTTAGTCCCTGTTTTCACTCCCCACCCAAACTGGGAGCAGGATGGAGACCTCAGCCCTCTCTCACCTCATCTGTGCAATCAACTTTGAATCCATCTTGTGGATGCTCAAAAAGTAATGAGTTTCTGTGGTCAGGCATCTCCCAGATGGGGTGGGAGGCAAAGAGGGATCACTCAGGCAAAAGAGATTAGGACTATTAGGAAGAAGTTTTTGCTGTGAGGGTGGTGAGACACTGGCACAAGTTGCCCCAAGTTGCCATGGGAGGCTTCGGCTGCGCCAGCCCTGGCAGTTTTCAAACCTAAAGCCTTGAGCAACCTGTTCTAATGGGAGGTGTCCCTGCCCAGGGCAGGGGGTTGGGACTGCATGATCTCTAAGCTCCATTCCAACCCCTAACATTCTATGACTGTATGAAAAGGAAATGCATATGGAATTAACTGAGCTGGATTTATATATTAGTTAGCTTCAACTCAAGGCCAGGAGAGTTTTACATGGTGTTTTCCCCCTGCTGTAATAACTGGTAGCACTTTATAGTGGAGAGATTCAACAAACATGCTAATGAGGTCCCTTTTTCCAATCACTTTGTGCCTAAAACAGATGTATAAGGACATTAAAGTTGGCGGAGGCACAGCCTGCCACTACGCTCCTGATATAACTGCACACATAGTCCTGCTGTTATCATCTCTGGATTCTCAACTTCCTCTGCTTTGAATTCCATATACAACATCTCCCATGACCACAGCCACCACCAGCAGCACGTGGCGGAGCAACTCCCCTTGCAGCCACATCCCTGCTGTGCCTCAGCTAACTCCTCTGTTCTGCCTGAAGGGATGGAAGACCTTCACTTCCATTCCTAGCTGGGGACAGCTGGTCCTCCTGATCCCACCACCACCTCCATAATCTCTCCAGTGATACACCTAATTAAAGGGATTTTTATACAGAAATCCTCTTCTGTATCCATCCAGCATTCCCAGGGATTGAGTCCCCATTTTCTTGCAGAGCAACACTATTAAGCACCTTCCAACCACCCTCTTAATATTTCAATAGCACATGCAATCTTAGCCACTTGAATTCCAAGTACTGCAGGAAAGCCTGAAGGTAATTTCTTCTTATTAGCCCCAAAACCTAGTGCTGCATGGGAAGATATTTCCTCTGTGAGGAAAAGGGTGAATATACAAAACTGATCTAGTTACAAGGGTCTGGAAAAAGAGCAGAGCAATTGACATACCTCATCCTTCTTCCCCCATTTTCTCTGCCAGAGAAATTATGTTTATTTTGAGACTGGGAAAGTTGGTCCTTGTTAAAAATTGGGGTTTGGAGTTTTTCCCCCTTTGTAAAGGAAATATAATACTATGTCCCACTTGCACAGCCACAAGTGAACAGAGAAAGGAAAACACTTAGCTTACCCCTGGCCAGGGCCATTTCCATCTCTAAATACACATTTCCAGCAGCAGTTTATCAAAGTCCCAGAGGAGAACATCCCTTGCAAGATGAAAATGAACAGTTCAGCATCAAAAATCTGCAGGGTCAGGGTTTTCTGAGGACAGGGAAGGGATGTGGTTTTAACTGGCAAATATAATTACTTCACTTCTTTAGCTAATAAGGGAGTTGCTAGTTCGTCCTTTTGATCTGCACACCCAACCCCAATTACTTGTAACACTTCAATCTAAACAGTGTGAAACCCGAGCCAGGGGAGCCAGAGGGCATCAAAGACAATTAGCTCATCCTGCTCAGGGAGGAATGTTCCTTAGGATGTGCCTCCCTGATATCCAGGGATGGATCTCTGAGTCCTGAGCGACGATTTCTGCCTCTCCTCCAGGCTGTGATGCCTCTGACCAGGATTCCTGGAGGAAGAGTTGCCCCAAGAGCAGCTGATCCCCCCTGCTCACGCTGTGCATAACTTGTCCCCATGACTCAGCCTACACAACCTCCACTGCTCTTCTTCCTCCTGCACTTACATCTCTCAAACTTGCAGACCAGAAAAGCAACAGCTAAATGTAGCCCATTCCCCTCCCTTTTATTTTGCTCCCCCAATGTTTCTATTCTCACCTGCAGCTTCCCTAAATTTCCCCACTGCCTCCTTGAGATGCTTCCAAATGAACACTCCTGCAGTGCTCTCCAAGGCCATTCCATGCACTGTTTGCTTTAAATCCAGCACAATGCCCAACTTGACAAGAGAAAACCACTTCTGGATCGGTCCCCAAGCTCTGTGCTGCACTCCCAGCTCTCTTTGATCTCTGAGCTATCTCCTCACCATCCTTCTGGACATGATTAACAACCAAGATGTTTTCATTGCAACTGATTTCCCTTGAGCAATGAGGCACAAACTGGTCAGGGCAAGTGCAATGTCCCTTGTAGCTTTAATTCTGTCTTTAGGTGTTCAGGAGGATACAACAACTTCCTAATGATTCCTCCAAATCATTGACATGGAGTCATGGAATGGTTTGGGTTGGGAGGGACCTTAAAGATCAGCTTGTTCCAAACCCCTGCCACGGGTAGGGACACCTTCCAATAGACAAACGTGAGTGCAAACATGGTACTAGAGCCCAAACCACTGTCAATGAATGACTTAGCTATTCCTAACTTGGAGATATATCAAACTATAGCTACAAAGATCAGGTGGAAATGATCCTGTAGATCCACCAGGCCTCCACACCAATTCCTTCTCCAACTAACCCAGGAATTAGTACAAAGGACAATCAGCATTTTTCTCGATTCATATATTCAAATCAAGTATTTGGGCACAGAAAAGCAGAACGGAAAGCAAAAGCCACACACAGGAGTGTTAAAGATGAACAACCTCCACCAGGCAACCAGACGACAGGCAGCAGCACTGCCCACATTGACCAAACCCACTCCATCCATCAGTGGGAAGCCCCAGGGAGCCTCTGAGGGATTAGATGGGTTGATTAGGCATCTTTAAGCCAATTACGCCATTTTATACTATTTTCAATCATTCACTGGACCAATTTGCAGCACTCAATTGCTCTTTACTGACATGCCCTCACCACAAGCAATGCACTCTGAGAGGCATTAAAAGCCCACTGGTGGGAAAGGCCACGTTCTCCTGGGTTTGCCCTGATTTGATCTTATCTTTCCCCCGAACTCAATATTCCACATGAAGAGAAACCTCTCAACAAGTCTTTTTCTGCCTCCTGTTGCAGCTCATGCAGTATGTGGCCACACATAAGTGAAGTGACTGCGATTTAAACAGAGTTCTCTGTCCCTTCCTATGATCTCTGTCGTTCTGGGATATTGTGGTGAGCAATACGAAGTTCCTCCATATCCTAACACTATGGAAATAATCAAAATTAGGTTTCTGGAGCTTCTCACCCAGGCTGACAAGTATTGCATGCAGAGTAGTCCTTTTCCAGTGTGAATTTACCATGTTCTGAGATATGAAAGTTGGTAGAGATCCATCAGCTTATCACACCATACAAGTGATGAGGAGATGAGCAGACAAAGACCATGTGAAGCCTGCAGAAGAGGCTGGTGGAGCATCCCATGCCCTGATGTCAGATTTCACATCAGAGAGCTCAAGCTCTGCTTGGGAAGACTCCAAACTGCCAACTATGAGACATTCACCCTGTTTCCATCCTGTCCTCCAGAATGGCACAGGGTAGAGGTGGGATGCTGAGCCACAGAGCCCTCACTGACAGGAAGCAACCAGGTTTATGTTTGGAAGCTGGGACATCCCTTGGAAAAGATCTCTGTGCTGCTCATACACCTTGAGACACTGGCACAGGTTGCCCAGGGAGGCTGTGGCTGCCCCAACCCTGGCAGTGTTCAAAGCTAAGTCGGAGAAAGCCTTGAGCCACCTATTCTGGTGGGAGGTGTCCCTGCCCAGGGCAGGGGGTTGGGAGCAGCTGATCTTTAAGGTCCATTCCAACCTAAATTTCTATGATCTTGGAAATGCCACCCAGCAGTGACTGGCAGAGAGGTATGAAGACATCCCTGCAGTGTGGGTGAGATGGATCCATGAGCTAAACAGTTCTGGAAAGACTAAAGATCAAATTAAACATGAACAGGACCTACACCAAGAATACTTCTATGAACTCAAAGGAACCTTCTCATACCTCCTTTATTTTAATTTTTTTTTTTTTTTTAGAAACAAGTGCCCTGTGGCACTTGGTGTGGCTGTGCAGGATTAAACCATCACTGGTAAGATAACAGATCTCACTCAACGGGGCTGGAGACACTCCTGTTAGCCAGGATACATATCCAAAACAGCCACAGAGCAAAACAGACCCTGACACTGTCACCTGCATGCAGAGGGGCAGGAGGGCAGGCAGTGCCACCCCATCCCAGGGACAGCACAGAGCTCAGCATCCTGCCAGGACATTTCCAGAGTCAGATGGCTTGGGTTGGATTTCCCGCAGAGGGGAAAAATGAATCTACCCTAAGCTAGAGGCCTCAATATCCATAAGGATGGAGCTTGAGGAAGAAGCCAGAGGAGATGGCAGAAGGAGCTGCAGGTCTGCTCTGAGAGCCCTGGCAAGAGACTAATCACTGTGGGTTCAGCCAGTATTATTTAACCTCCTGCCAGGAGGAGTAAATCCAGACCCAGTGACAGCCTAACTGTGGGAACAACACCAATTCATTCCTTTAATGCCCAGCTCCCTTCAATACCTGGTAATGGAACTGGCATTAGTGCTCCTGGACAACAGATCCCCCTTGGAAACTGCAGGCACTGGGGATGGAAAAGCTATTTCTCTCCTTCCTCCACTTGCTCTACAAGTCCAGAATCAAAACCCTCTTTGGTCAGGGGAGCTATGTCTGTTTTCCTACGACACTCAAAGGATCCAGAGGAAATCCCACCAGCATTTTGCTCATCTTTCTACCTCTGCCCCAGACATGATGAGCAGCTGAAGCACAGAAACTACTGTGTATCCTCAAGGCCCCTCACCTCTCACTGCCTTTAACACTCTGAAACAGTTAACACCTATTTTATTTGTTTTAAAAATACATTTCACAGAAACACAGCAGCTGAGGCGAACAGACAGTGCTGGGGTGAGGAGTTGCTCCTAAATCAAATGTGGCAACAGACTACATTGTCTGAGCAATATGCAAACAGCTGTCTGAGAGCAACATGAAGCCTTCAGTCCTCTCCTCCCCATTCCAGGGAACACAACTGAGGTGCACAGGCAATGAAAGGAAAAGCTTTGGGAAGCACCAAGGTCTGGCTGTGCTTTGGGCAGGAGCCCAAAGAGGAGACTTCGTGGGCACAATTCTCCTGCAGAGCACAAAGACACAAAGCACTTGGGGTTTTCTTGTGTTCAGAGATTCTCACTCATCACCTGGGAGTTCAATAAGCCATATCAGACCATGATGGACCTCCATCTATCACTCTCCCTCCTGCTCCCACCCCCAGACCCAATCTCACACTCCCCTCCTGACTATTCCACTCAGTGCTCAATCATACAATCATAGAATTTTAGGGGTTGGAATCGACCTTAAAGATCAGCTGCTCCCAACCCCTGCCCTGGGCAGGGACACCTCCCACCAGAATAGGTGGCTCAAGGCTTTAGCCAACCTGGCTTTGAACACTGCCAGGGTTGGGGCAGCCACAGCCTCCCTGGGCAACCTGTGCCAGTGTCTCACCACCCTCACAGGAAAAACTTCTGGCTAAGATCTCATCTAAATTTCCCCCATTCAATTTCTCCCCATTCCTCCTTGTCCTGTCACTGCAGTTCCTAACACAGAGTCCCTCTGCAGCTCCCCTGGAGCCCCTTCAGATCCTGGCAGGTTGCCCTGAGGTCTCCACACAGCCTTCTTCTTCTCCAGGCTGAACAGCCCCAAGTCTCTCAGCCTGTCTTCAATATTCCACTTTCCTCTCTCAATATTTAGCTGTTTTAATCTATTTGATGCAATTCCAGCTCACTCTTGTCCAGACACCTCATTGATGTTTGGGTTATTTAAACAACACAGGGAGCAAGCCAATATTGAACTGTCAGGCTTTAAGACTTACTTTCCTCATTCTATTGTATTTATTTCCCAGAGAAAAACCCAACGCCATCACAGACAACTGGATTCCTGCAAGGAATGTTTACTGGTCAAAGTAAACCAGCAAGGAGCAAGTGTGAATTTTCCACCTAGCCACAAGGTTTGTTGGGGAGTTTTATTTTCATAAAAGCCAATGATTTATAAATGAAACCAAAACAGTTCTTGTGGGGAAATCACCGTTTGACAATAGCTGCAGAGACATTCCTCCATTCTCAGTAATCATTCAGCAACCTCCCAAAATACCTAGAAATCAGCCTAAAATCCCTGGAATGCTTTATTTTCCTCTCTTTTTCTTTTGATTTTCCTTTTTGAGAGCTCCTCCCTTGCCTGTCCTTCACATCCCTCCTCAAAACACACAGCACCCAGTCATCTCCTCTTCTTCGTCTAACTAACTCCCCACTAATTGTGCAGGTGTTTAAAGACCAAGAACAAGAGGAAGACCCCATCCCTCCCACTCAGCCCTCCAGGACAGGGCTGGCTGCTCCTCCAGCACAAGGTGGACCTTTCCTTTTACTCTTACAACACAGAAATGACACCAAAGCAAGAACAATTTCCCTTAGTGCTGCCTGTGGAAGCACATGGAGTTAACTTTGTGCCTTGCATATTTGATTAGGGGGTTGTTCACCACCAGCACAGCCATAAAGCCAAGGGCAGGAGTGTTTTCCAAACCACACTCAGCAATGTGACCCCAGAGGTTTGAGAGCTCATTGTCAGCTGTGGAGGCTCAGCTGAAAGCTCTCCACACAAGTGTATACCTGAGATCATTCTGGCACAAGTTGGATGAAGGCTCAGAAAGGAACAGCAAAAGTCTTCAGAGCCACTTCTGAGCCTCGGCCAAACAAAAAAGCAGATTAAAGCCATAAAACAAACTCTCTAGCTTGAAGCAGCTTCATCTCTCAGTGTTTGCTTTCACAGCATGAAGGTCACATACAAGTCTTCCCCTGCCACCTCCATCTGACAACAAACAAGACCCTGAACATTGCTTCTCCCTGGTAATAGATCCTCAGCAAGCTGAAGCTGCCTTTCATAGTTCCATGGCACAGCTCACAAGAACATGGGGGGGATAAAGCACCTGTTGCTCTGACTAAACACCAGTGATTAGCCCCTGAGCAGCACTGGGGGCTGAATTCAGTCATCCAACTCTTTAATTCCACAGATCAGGTCAGCATGAAATAGATACTTACAAGGTTAGATGGACAAATTTTTCTCTCTTTTTAAAGTCTGAAAATAGCATCTCTTGGTGATTTGGACAGATTATTCCCCATTCGTGTGTGTCCCCCCCCCCCCATTTTCTAATGGGGCTGAAAACAGCTTTGGTGTTTAGGACACAGAACCCTCCAAAACAATTAAAGCAGCTCTGCCAATGAGGTTTGGAGCTTACTTTCCATCTGAAGAATGTCTAGAAATGCCATCTGACATTTTCAGAGGCTTCAGTTTCATTGGTTCTTGCCACCAAAGCAAACATTTCTGTGCCAGCACGTGGAGTGCAAAAGACTCTGGTGGAGCAGATCAACAGAGCACAGAAATATCACAGATGGAAGGCAAGTGCAGCAGGGTGAAAAGACAGAAGGTATCTAATCATACTTGCTGAAATGTAAACAGCTTCACTTCTCTCCTCATTGGATTACATCACACACAAGCCTGAGTTTACTCAAGTCAAAATACAGCAGGAGAAGGGAGTTTGGATAGGGTTGCAACCAGCAAAGAGCTGGAAAGCAATGTCCATCCACACACAGGAATATCATGTGAGCACAGGCCAAAAACACAGCTCCATTTACAGCTCTGAACAGTGGCTCAAATGACTCATTAAGAAAATATTTGTCACATTTCTAAGGGAGAGATAAATCTTCAGAAGTCATCAATCTGCTGATCTTCCTGCAGCACTCCAAGCGCAGCTAAACCACATGAAGCAACAGCAACTGCTCAGCTCAAGTTGCAAGAGTCAAGGAGACCTTTTAGGGGAATGGATGGAGACAACAACAGCAAACTCACTGCTTGTAAACCTTCAAACCCCAACAGAGCACCAGCTGCAGGGAAACCCCGCTGTACTTACTGGACAGGACTGTAGTGAGGAAGATGTAGTCGGAGAAGGAGATGAGTCCACACTCCCCAAGGGCATAGAATATGCTGTCCTCATCTGCAAACCTCTCCCGCTCCTGGGACAGCTTCTGCTCACCAGCACAGCCCAGAGAGACAGGAGAGCAACAGATTAAACACAGGAAAGGAAGATTTGTTTGTGTCCTCACCACCAACAAGCCACTGCACCAACACACACCTACTATCTCCATTCACATCCAGTGGACCTTTTCCAGCCTTCAAATCTGTCAGAAGAGCTCAGCAAAGATCAGTGCTTCCCATCTCCAGAGAGATAAGGAATTGCACAGGATTCATTAGCTGTTTTGGCCTAGCTGAAACGCAGATCAATAAAACTATGGTTGTTTTGCTTAAAATGACCTGAATCTTTGAGATTAGTGTTGTGAAAATCAGGTTCTTAATAGAGGATTCAGAAGGGAAATGAATATATTTCACTGACAGCTTTTTAGTTATAATCTGTTGTAGCAGCAGCCAAGAAAGAGCTACTTTACATGAATATAAAGCATGATGAGAGTTCTCAAACCATGTGGTTATCAGCAACACATGACCCAGGAGTGTGTGTGCGTGAGTTCACCGGGAGCACTGGGACTGATACCCATCTCAAACTCCCACTCCCTCCAGTTCTTCTGCAGTCATCAGTTCATAATATCTTACTCAGCTAGAAATCCAAGTCCCTTTGAGCCACAGAACCTTCAAAGACTGAAAAGGATCCATGAGACTGTTAGGAAATCCACACTAGTGCCCACTGGAAGAACACAGCAGGAGGAGGCACAAACACACACACACAACAAGGAGAACTGAAAGAGTATAAAGGAGAGTAGGGGTGGATGAGGTTATTCCAGGAATCCCAGGCCATGCAAGCACACAGGCATGGTGAAAGCAGAGTTGGATTTAGGGAGGGATTAGGACAAACCACCAACACACAGCACCACACGAGGCTCCAGCTGTGCTGGCCCCACCGTTACCTCTGTCTAGCGAAGATCCCACCATATACAAGATAAAGGAAAGAAAACTGGTTAACTGACAATCCAACAAGCAGGCAAAACACAACATCAGGTTCAACTGTTAGGCTTGCAAAGAATTAGAAAGTTGGGAAGCAACCAGGTGGCTGCTGTCACTGGAAGCCTACGGAGACATCCCAGCAAGGGTTAGCACCTCTCCAGGTCAGCCCCACTGGCTGCAGCTGAAGCCTCTCACCCACCTCAGCTCTGAGGGTTTCTGAGAGAACTCACCATTGCTTGCGGCTGCAGAGTGGGGATGAGCTCAGCTAATAACTGAGATGAAAATTTAACCCGTATCTGGCTTGGAAACCACAAGAAAAGAGACAAAAAGAATCATATAGAGCACCAGAACAACACAGTTTCCGGGAGAAAAGAGCTCTACTGATCACATCGAATTCCTCCCAGTAACTCTGCCTTTCCCATCTGGATAGAGGCAGGGATTGAATAAGAGGTGAATCACACAGCAGACAAGATGCTAATGGCATTCACTTGATGCAAGATAACAGCTCTTTATGCTCTCAGGGCACCAGGTTGAAGTATCATTTACTTAAAACCCCATTTTTGCTTCACTTCCCTTCGAGATGGATCCAAAGCCAAATTGCACTGATGCTGATGTGAAGAACAAGTAAACAAGTCTGGTTTTCCTTCAAACCAGAGGGAGGAATTGTGGACAAAGCAGTTTGCTGGAGGTGTTGCCAGCAGCATCTCACCTGCTGCTGTGATTTATTGCCTCTCCCTCTGATTGCCTCTCCTGAGCAGCATTTATCAAACCCACCTATTAGCATCCTGCTCCAAAAAAACTTCCAGAGGCTGGTTTATTAATTTTTATGGCCTTCCTTTCCTGCACTTAAAATTCGTAGTTGGCATCAAACAGCTCCAAATATTCCTCATCAGAGGAAAAGCACACCCAGAGACTAATAATAAAAAGGATATTAAGTTAGTTGCTCTCTGAAATACAAAGATGTAGACAGATGGGAGGGAGAAGCATTTACCCATTTGCACCTTACTTGGAGCAAACAAAGAGAAAAATGTTATTTATTTTTATTGAACAAACATCTCCTTGTCCCAATCCTGGGGAGCATCAGCTGTGACTGTGGTGCTCAGCAGCCTGCAGCCCACAGAACAGGGAATTTCTCCCACTCAGCTTAATAAGAGAAAATAAGAACTGGCCTGATCAATAACATTTTCAGGCTCTCAGCACTAGAGGAGAAGTTGTTAAAAATTCCCAACACTCCCATTTATTTTCCTCTGGCTCTCTGAGCTGTGTTTGCTTTCCATGAACTCCATGGGAAGCTCAGGCACTATGGGAATGGTTGGAAGCATCTTTCCAGGGGCTGTTTCATAGATTCATTCATAGTACGTGAAGAGACTGGAATGGAGCTTAGAGATCATCCAGTGCCAACCCCCTGCCCTGGGCAGGGACACCTCCCACCAGAACAGGTTGCTCAAGGCTTTACCCAACCTGGCTCTGAACACTGCCAGGGTTGGGGCAGCCACAGCCTCCCTGGGCAACCTGTGCCAGTGTCTCACCACCCTCACAGAAGAAAAACCAACCATGAAACATTATAATCTATCAAATTATATATAAACCCCAGGTAAAATAATATAAAGTAGAATAAATCAATCTCCCTCCCTCACTAAGTACAACATGAGTTGTCATGTCCTTCCAAGCTCAAAGACCCAAAGTCAATCCTCACTAACACCTCAAACTCTCTATAAACCTCAAGGTTCTTTTCCACATCCCATTTTCCTTCCAGCAAACTCCCTTTTAGCCAGTAAGGTAATGCAAGTGATCGGCACAGCCAGGAAAAAATCCCTTTCCAAACCTCTTTACAGACATATCACCTTCACAAATGAGTTACCTACGTGATTTCAGGGCAACTTCCACATTTCACACCCTTTTGTATGTGACCACAAGGTCATTCCCAAAGAGCTCAGTTAAAACAGTCAAATGTCTTCCACTTAGCAGTTTTTTCTGTGTAAAATCCATTCCTCAATCCAAAGTAACTGGTTCAGATCACTCAGCACACCCTAAAAACAGCCAACCCTGAGCATTCCTAAACGAACAAGCCCCAGGGAACAGCTTACAATTAGGATGTATTTCTTCAGTTAAGCAGTAGATCCATGTTTAACAGGCACACAGACAGGCAAACACTCAAACTAACACGTGAAAGGCACTAAAGCCCAATATCCCACTGCTTTTGGCACAAGCATGGGGTGTGAGGGGAGTGAGAAGCCACCAGGCAGACTCAGTGGGACAAAGCTTCCAAGAGGCATTCAGGCACATTATCCCACAACACCACACATGGACAACAGGAAAAAAGCCCAATATACTTGAACTTGACACCACAAAACTTGGTTTGCCCTTTCCAGCTCAGGCTCCAAGCTCAGATAGCTCCAGGGGGTGGGTTGAACATCTCAGTAGTGTCCAAGCTCCCCAAACCATGTGCTGGAGGAAATCATGAGCCACATGCAGGTAACTCCCCACAGTTGTGTCATGTACAGGCTGTAAAGCACCCAAAGATGACAAACCTCATGTTTTACCTTTAATCTATTGATGGAGCTTCCCTGGAACCAAAGACATGGTGCAGCTCCCAAGTAACAAAGGATTTGAGGGAAAAAGCCACCGAATCTTCCATTCGTTGCCAAATATTACCTTTTTTTGGGGGTTTGAAATTGTTTCCTCAGGGCTGAGTGAAGTGTGAAAGGTGTTAGTATTTAATTATGCAAATCTGGGGGGGAAAAAAGGTGTATTTTTGCCAATGAAGGGACTCCATCCTGCAGAGGAAGGAGGTGGCCACACCATGCTGGTGTTCCCATTCCCAACACAGGCCTAGAAGAGCCCCAGCAGCTAAATCCTTGTAGCTCCACTTCATTTGGCATCTCAGGAACTACTTAATGAGCAGCATTTAATTGCCACTCTGGGAAGAACTCATTGTTACGACGTCTCTCAGAGCTGCCCATCTGGGTTTCAGTCTGGAGGAGAAAACACACTTCGGACACATTTATTCCTGTAACTCCTATTTCAGCATCACCTTTGGACTTCCATGAACTTCAGGAGTTTATCAGCTTTGTGTCACCGCTTCAGAGTGACTTAGACCTTTCAGAAAGGCAACAAAGGAAATACCCAAGTGCATGCAAGGCAATTTTCCCAGAACCACAGAGCAACCGTGTAATTAGCAAAGGATTTGAGATGAAGCACAACCACCTCTGAGTGACAAACATCACGGCACTCGCTTTGCTCCTTGTGAACAGATCTGTTTCAGGTGACCAAGAGTGTGTAAGCAAATCCAAACCCATGAGTGTGGAGTGGAGTCACCTTGCTGCAAAGCAATTCTCTTCCAGTCCCAAGTGACCACCTGCAGTGATGGGGAACATCTCAAATACACCTATCAATGTGTTCATGTCATGGTCTGTACTGGTGCAGCAGAGCCTGCAGGACAGGCATGAATTCCTCCAGCTGCTTCCTGTTCAAATCCAGGGAAATACAGTCCAAAATACTTGCTGACTAAGCATTTGAAGATTCTTTATGTTGGTCTGTCACAGACAGAGAAGGGAAAACTCTTAAGCAATGCCAGTGCAAACCAGCACTGCTGTGGGAGCTGAGAATGTTAATGCTTCCACCTCTGTCTGCATCACAGTGCTGAGCTCCAGGCTCTGAAAACAGGGAGATTGTTCATTTGGCTCTTTCCTTTGAGGATCTAAACTTGAAAGAGCCAAAGTCATGGATCCAGGGATGTCAGGACACCTCACCCCTGGCAGTAAGGAAACTGAAATAGAGCAATAAAAAGGCTTTCAGAAACAGATGAAAAAATTGAGCCTCTCAGCTCATTTCTTTAGGGAAAAAGAGGTTGGGGAGGAACATCCACACTATGAAACACAGACAAAAAAAGGACTTGGGGTGAAATTGAGGGATTTAAGAGCTTTTGAATCCAGTTTTATAACGTGGATGCAAATAAGTAATTTTAGATGCATCTCCTGACATTTTTATATCACTTTTATACATCACTAAATAACAAAAATGGGTTTGAGGCTGTGATGGGAACAGCATAAACACTTTGTGAAGCTCATAA